TTCAATCCACCCTTCACGAAGCCCTCCCATGTAGCTAGCGTTCTTTGCGAATGTCTCGAAATGGCCAGTAGGCGCTGTCTGCTCGCGGTCTGTGCGGGCCGCTCGTCCTCCTCGCCCTTCTTTCGTCCTCCCGTCCCTCCCCTCCACCATGGCCTTCTCTAAGACGTAAGAGTAGCGAAAGTCGAGAGCATGTAGAGAGAGACATACATTCTACTCACTATATTACTTTGTGACTCGGGATAATTCTTACGGAGATTCACCAAGTGATCGCGAGTGATGCCGCGAAGCAGAAACTAGCGCAGACGAGAGCAGGGCAGCGGACCCGGGGACGGGGGAAGCGGAGCAGACGGCATCGGCCGCCGAGGCGCGAGGGAACGTTGGGAAGACAAGAGGCGCGACCGCGAGGAGGGCGGCGACCTCAACCCCGACGCTACTCTATGGAGGACCCGTCGCGCCAGCCTCGCCAGCGACGTCTAGGGCAGTGCAGACGACGGGGAAGAGTTGGAGCGCAGACGCGCAGGGCGAGACGAGGGAGGCAAGGAGCAGGACGTTTGCGGAGATCAGCAGGAGGATGTACGAAGAGATTAGGAGCAGCAGGGACCCACAAAGGACAACGTGGAAGACGGCTAGTGCTAGTCCCCCCGTCGGGAGGACGAGACCCCGGCTAAAGTAGCCGCCGACCATCGACCACCCCCCACACAAAGAACCCTGCAGCTTCACAAAGATCGGCACGGGCGGGGACCTGTTCCTTTTTACTGACGTACCCATCCCATACGAGGTGTGCGTTTTTATTTGTTTATTTATTTGGTGCGAAAAATGGGGGGCAAAAACGGGGCAAAAACTGTACACACGTGTGACCGCCGACGATCACTGTACGTACGTACTTTTAGCTTACCGTACTGGGAGAGAAGGGAGAGGGGGTTGTGTTCTCTAGGCCCCTAAGGGCCCTACGCGCGCTCTCTCTCTCACTGTACAATGGGCTCCAGGCACTTTGGAGCTCAAATCCGCGGCCGCACATCCACCACCTCATACGCGAGCCCCTCGACCGTCACCGTCTCGACGTCGCCGGTCGGCTGCAGGAAGGTCAGCGGCGGGAAGAGGAACTCCGCCTCTCCGGGGAAGGCGGAGAGAAACGAGATGTCCGGCCCGCGCTCGTAGAAACTCTCGGTGATGAGCCGCAGCAGCACCGCCTTGACGCTCGCCGAGTAGCGCATCGCGACGGAGAGATCCGACGTTGTGCTCATCGGAGCGAGCTCGGTGCCGCCCTGCTCCATGAAGCTGGCCGGCGCCGTGACGTCCTTCATGCCGCGGTACAGCTCGACGCGGCGAAGCGGCGACTCTCGCGAGTGGTCCGCCTCGACCGCCCGCAGCTTGCCGAGCGCGTCGCGGATCAGCGCGACTGTCACCGGCAGTGGGTGGGCCTCGCCCCGCTCGTGGCGCTCCTTGTCGCGCAGCGGGGTGTTGATCGAGCGGAAGGCCTGAGACGGCGAGGGGGCGTAAGTGGGTGAGAGAGCGGAGCTGAGAGAGTTGTGTATCAGCGGAAGCAGGGGCTTCGCCTGCGTCGTGTAGAGGCGAAGAGCAACCACGTGCGCCTCGGTCAGGTCGGCGTGCTGAGCGCTCGGGTGGGCTACGAAGTCGGCCAACCGCATCCCGCACACCACGCCGCTGCCGTCGGCGACGGTGCGGCAAGCCAGCACCCTGCCACGCTCGTCGCAGTCGCGCTTTAGCCCGCCCTGGTACATGAGATCGCTCGAGCCTGCCTCAGCGTGCAGGATGTAGTCCAGACACTCGCGGTCGGCGTCGGTGCCACCAGCGGTCACCTCCCGCACGATGGCGGCGGTGCCCTCGAGCAGCCCCGTAAGGACCGCGTCTCTTGACACGCGCATGTAGTGCTCGATGCCCAGCGCAGCCTGAGCTGGCCTCCCAAACACCAGCTGTCTTGGCTCCGTTGCGAAGCGGTTCTCCTCGGTGGCGGTGTGGAGCACTCGTAAAGCGTCGAGGCCGCCGGCCAGCGAGGCCACGGCCTTGATCATCAGGGCGTGGATCACGCTCCGCTCTGGCAGCGACACGGAGATGATAACCTGGCCACCGTCGTCGTTCTCCTGAGAGTCTCGTGTGCAAACCTGGACCCGCTGCTGCTTTGCGAGCCGGAGGCGACGCTTTCGCAGCGCGAATAGCGCGCCGCCGAGGCAGAGGAGCCCCGCCACGACGGCGCCGATGGTGGCGCCGACAATCGCGGCAGCGTCGGAGGGATCAACGTCGCCGCAGCAGGGGTTGAATGAGGTTTGAATGGTAGGGGTCGAAGGCGGCGGCGGAGGAAGCGGCGGTGGCGGCGATGACGGCGGCGGTGGCAGCGGCGGCGGGGCGAGCGGCGGCGGCGACGGCGGCGGCGGCGATGGCAGCGGCGGCGACGGCGGCGGCGGCGATGGCAGCGGCGGCGACGGCGGCGATGGAAGCGGCGACGGCGGCGGCGGCGGCGATGACGGCGGCGGCGGCAGCGACGGCGGGGCGGTGGCCGCGCATTCAGCCTTAACCTTCGCGCAGAAATACCGGCTGTCGCCGTCAGTCGTGTCGATGGTGGTAACGGGATACGCGGCAGAAGACTGCCCACCTGTCCCTGCCGGTCCGCCGAACTCGGTCACGTGCTTGTAGCATCCTCTGCCCGACGACCACACGCTGTAGCCAGTGCAAGTGTAGTCCAGCAAGCAGTTGTCGATACACTGGCGTTCCATCCACGTACTCTCGTAGGCATACCGGGGATAGTCACCCGCGCTATCCTGGCAAAAGCCAACCGTCCGATTGAAACAGGGGAGCGGCGGCGTGGTCGGAGGCAGCGTGGGCGGCGGCAGCGAGGGCGGCGAGGGCATCGGCATAACACGCCAGAAATGCGAGCGATTGCAATTGAGACGCCTTTGGATTCCCACAACCAAAAAAAAGAAAAGCGGAGCGCGAAACTACGGGCGATCGGCCTGTCGCTCGCAGCCAGCACCGGCGTACTCAGGCCAGTGCAAGCGCGAGAGGTGCGGGGACTGGCCAAGCGGCTAGTTGGCTCGACGGAACTTCCGGGCGAGTGTTCCGGTGGCAGGGGGAGGACTACCTGATCTCAGCGACGTCGAGTCGTCTCCGGCGCGCAACAAAGGTACATACCCAGGACGCGCAGAGGCAGCTGCGACCCCGCCGAGTAGACGGCGGCACACAGCGCCACCTGCTGTGTGCCGCCGTCCACTCGGCGGGTTCGCAGCTGCCTCTGGAAGGCACCGAGATGTACCTTTTTCGCGCAATGGTCAAAATCAAGGTTTTGTAACGCGAGCTGTGCCACAGTGAAATGGAACTAGCCTTTGCCTCGTGCGTCCCTTTTTGAGCCGGAAAGCTATTTTCTTTGGGTCCTGTGGGCACCCTATTTGCGGCGTCCCCGGAGAGTCCGGTGGGCTCGCTCTAGCTACGTGTAGTAGCTTGCGATCGCGGTACCTCCCGGACACTCTGGTGCCTCGAGCGGCGCCCCCGACGGCGGGAGCAGCGTCGGCTTGCGGGATCCGGGGGCGAGCCAGCGCGCGCGAGCGTGTGTCTCCGGCGCCGGCAGCTTTCCTCTTCCCACGCAGAGCCTCGCCGAACGCGCGACATCCCCGCTCGTGGCTTTGTATTATGTACATTCGGTGACGGCGTGTCCGACCTGAGATAGGAGCGCGACCTGTCGCTTGGGACGCACTCGACTGTCGCGGACTGTGCAGCAAGCAAAGGCCAGGGCGCGCGGGCTACGCCTTTCGATGGTCTAGTCGGCTGCGCGGCGGCGTGCCCGTGGCGCGAGGCGGCCTCCTCGGGCGTGCCGACGGGCGGCACTGCAGCGCGGGAGGCGCCGTAGGAGGAGAGGAGCTTGGCGACCTCGACCGGCACGCGATGTACAGCGGCGTGGCGCCGCCCTCTTTTGGCTTAATTTACCGCCGCGTCATCCCACTGCTTCCCGCGCATGCCGCCTCCTCGTCCCTCTCCTCGGCCTGCGCGCGGGTGGAGCGTCTCACTCATGGCTTCTTGACTCCACGCGCAGTGCTCACGGCGCGCGACGCGCAGCGGTGTGTGGCGTGGGCAACTCCGCGACCTCTGCCGCCGTCCGCGTGCATGGCATCAACTCTTTCCAAACGGCCTCGCGGGAGATGGCCGGCGTGATGCTCATCGCAAACCTCTCCACCGCCTCCAGCATCGCGTCCCTGAGCAGCGAGCGGCCGGGGGGGAGCATCCGCCACGTGCTCTCAAAGTCCGCCGTCAGACCGATCACGTCACGTCCTTCATCGCGAACGTCACCTCGGGCAGATCCGCACTCTCGGGAAGAGGCCACAGACGCACGCCCATCACCACCTGCGAGCCGCCGAGCATGCACGGGCCTTTTCCGACGACGACGTGTGGGTGGTCCGCGTAGTCGAGGTTGCTCGCGCGGACGCGGGTGGCGAGGAAGACGAGCCGGCCGATCCTACACTCCTTCCGCCTTGAGCCCGAGTTATGCCTTCAGAAAGGCGGGTGGAATCCCTGTCGTCTTGAGATAGGGCCGAGGGCGGCGGCAGCGAGGGCGGCGGGGCCGAGGGCGGCGGCAGCGAGGGCGAGCTCACCCGCCGCCCTCCCCACCGACCGCCCTTCCACCGCTGTCACCGCCGCTCGAGCACCGCCGTCGCATCACTCTCTCCCCTCCCTCCCTCCCGCCGCAAGCAGCCCGCCCCCTCGAGGCGCGACGGTGGCTCAATGCGATGGCGTGCTCTCTGGCGACCTTCGAGGTCGACATGGAGACGGGGCAGCGCAAGCCCGACCTCACCTCCCTCGGCACGGAGGGAAGGCAAATGGCACGGGCCCGACGGCTTCTTGCTGCGGCGCACCTCGCCCTCGAGCGGGTCGGGCTCGGCGCGGCTCCTCTTCTTGACGAGGTCGCGAGGACAGCATCCGCTGCACGGCGGCCTCCACCGACTGCGGCGGCGTGCTGATCTGCGCGTGGGCCGCCCCTCGCCAACGGTGATCCAGCCCTCCCACCGTCGGAGAGTGGGGGCGCATGGAGGGCGGCTCGTCAAAGGTCTTTGCGACCGCTCCGGCCAGCATCGGCGAGAAGCGCTCGACGATTCCTCCCCATGTTTGTACTTGCGCTCGCTCCACGTGCCGAAGAGAGAGCGGTCAAGTCGCCGCGCACGTACACCTCGAAGGGCGATGCGGGCGTCCTTGTCCCCGCAGATGGCGGCGTAGATTTGCTGGCACGCCCGAGGAACGGCGGTATACTCATTTTCGAGCAGCTGCTGCGCCCTCACGAACCTATCCGCCGCAAAGGCCTGCACGGCGACATCCGTTGGTGGCCCAACACGGACTGCTTGGCTCCCTTCGCTGGATTCACAAAAGAAGAAAGCCGAAAGTCCTTGTCTTGCGTTTCTGTTTTCTTCCCTGTCTACTTGCCTAGCGTCCGCTGGGCTCTCCTCGAGAAAGCGCGAATATCTTTTGTACTGCGATCCCAATAAAAAACAAATCGGTTGGTGCGCAAGAAGAGCGGGCAAAGGGAAGAAGAGCGCCGGCGCGCAAAATACCGCCTGAGGGGTTCGAACCCTCGACCCCCGCTTTAGGAGAGCGGCGCTCTGTCCACTGAGCTAAGGCGGCAGCGAAGTGGATCTCGACCCAGCAGCCACTCGAATCGCACGAAGTCGATCGAGCGAACACGCCGTGTCGTGATTGTGCCAACCAGAAGTAGAGCAAGCAGCGCACCTGCCTATAAAGGTAAAAAGTGCTTTTTTCTCTTTTTTATTTAAAGGAAAAGCGGAGGATGTTTCTTTTTACTGTTTTTTATTTTGGGTGCTGAGGATGTTCTTTTTCAGTGGCCAGGGGCGGGGCTTGCATTTTTGCCGTCGCCTGTCGCCGCTACAGCGCAGCGTCACACCTATTCTTCTCAGAGAGAGTTTAAGCAATACCCCTTCTCTTTTCTCACATTTTCCTCCGTTTTCTTTCGCCGTTACATATTTCGAAGTAACTGAAGCCCGAACCGTGTTATTTCCTCGAGCGCCGGATAAGCGATTAAAACGAGGGCCGTCACAACGTGTTTCTCGGCTCGCCTTCGCCCGGCCCGGCGCTATGCCGGCGCGTTCGCTAGAGGCTGCTGCCGCAGAGCGGAGGAGTGTCGCCTCGCTTCGCCACACGCTTTTTTTCTCGTTCTATGCGACCTCGAGGCCCTGGAACTGCGAGAGCGTGCCCTGCATATACCGCCCACCTGGGATGGCCTGCGAGGCGAGGACCATATGGCCGAGAAGGCGAGGTGGGGTTGGGTGGGGGTGGTGGTGAGGGGGGGGGTGGATTGGGGGAGGTGGTGGTAGTGAGGGGAGTGGTGGTGAGGGTGGGGGTGGAGAGGTGTTGGTGGAGAGGGTGGAGGTGGTGAGGGTAGGGAGGGTGGTGGTGGTGAGGGTGGGGGTGGTGGGTTTGGAGGTGGTGGGTTTGGTGGAGGTGGGCTTGGAGGTGGTGGGTTGTGGTGGTGGAGGCGGGCTGGGCGGAGGCGGCAAAGGAGGGGGTGGGCTTGGAGGGGGTGGGCTCGGAGGAGGGGGCGAGGGTGGTGGTGGAGACGGTGCTGGACGCCGCCTTCGAGCTGTGTCCCACCTCTCGAATGCACGACAGCTCTGCGCGGCAGCAGCATCAGCAGCAGCCTCCGCACCGCCACCCGCCTCGCGCCTGTCGCGGCCGGAAGGGAGCACGCCGTCGCTGCCGTGGCACCGAGGGCCGGAGCCCCACTCTCGTACAGTCGAGCGGCTCCGACGCGAAGCGCTGACTCGCAAGCCATTTTTACTCTCTGAAAAAGAGAGCAAGCAAGCGCACCCACGCTTGTAATAGTCACCGTTCTTACACTGGTGAACAAAACACTCCTTCAGCTGGTATGTCGGCTGTCGGGCCTCTCTGGCTCGCGGCCGCCGTGCTGCTGATCCTGAGCGATCCTGCGCTCGCACTCGCCCAGAGCACGCGTGCTGTGCGCCCCGTGGCCGCGTCGGCTTCCGCCGAGGCTTCCGCCGAGGCTTCCGCCGAGGCTTCCGCCGAGGCTTCCGCCGAGGCTTCCGCCGAGGCTTCCGCCGAGGCTTCCGCCGAGGCTTCCGCCGAGGCTTCCGCCGAGGCTTCCGCCGAGGCTTCCGCCGAGGCTTCCGCCGAGGCTTCCGCCGAGGCTTCCGCCGAGGCTTCCGCCGAGGCTTCCGCCGAGGCTTCCGCCGAGGCTTCCGCCGAGGCTTCCGCCGAGGCTTCCGCCGAGGCTTCCGCCGAGGCTTCCGCCGAGGCTTCCGCCGAGGCTTCCGCCGAGGCTTCCGCCGAGGCTTCCGCCGAGGCTTCCGCCGAGGCTTCCGCCGAGGCTTCCGCCGAGGCTTCCGCCGAGGCTTCCGCCGAGGCTTCCGCCGAGGCTTCCGCCGAGGCTTCCGCCGAGGCTTCCGCCGAGGCTTCCGCCGAGGCTTCCGCCGAGGCTTCCGCCGAGGCTTCCGCCGAGGCTACCTCGTCTCGTGTCCTGTCTTTCACATTGCCCTCGACGACTGGCAGAGCCGGAGCCAACCGCACCAACCACCGCCCGACCAGCAGCCAGGAAACTACCCCGCTGGGCGGGGGCCTGGTTGGGTTGTGCGAGGTGCGGCCCTCTCGGAGCCACGAATGTACAACTTCATCGACTCCGAGCGCATCTTCTACCCGTCCGACGACTCGCTCCTGCCGGGACCCGGGCCGACCGGTACCGAAGGCAGTCGAGCACCAGGACGAGGAGGCGCCGTTCTGGCGTCGCCCGTCCCCAACAACTCCGACATGGACATCTTCGTTGGCGGCACGCCCGCAAACGAGACCATCACCAGTCTCTTCTCGCGCGACGCCTCGTCGGCGGGCGGCCTCTGGGACCTCTCCGACCCGCTGGGACTGGTGATGGCAAAGCTCCCGGGAGATCTCTTACTCGCCGGCCTCATGGCGGCTTACACCAAAAACGGCATTTTCGCTTCCCTGTTCATTTTACACAGCGTCTCCGCCGCGCCCAAGCCTTGGTACTACGCGCTCTACGTTCCAGGGTCTGGTTGGGGCGTCTTTTCCACGTGGGACCTCTGCGCAGCGCACGGCGCCGTCGGGGGCTCGAGGGCGCGCCACAAGAAGTACCGCGACATCCAAGAGGCGCTCGCCCACATCAACGTGCACTACCCAATCCCGACCTCGACCCAGATCCTACTCGACTTCTGGTACCCGTTTGAAGGGGAGGCGACGCCAGCCCATCCCGGCGTCCTTCTCCAACCCGTCGTCCTGAGCCCCGGCACGGTCACCACCTACGCCCAGCCAGGCAACGGCAACGGCGCCGCTGCGTCGTCATCTGCTGCGTCGTCCTCGACGGCAACCGGCAACGGCGCCACTGCGTCGTCATCTGCTGCGTCGTCCTCGACGGCAACCGGCAACGGCGCCACTGCGTCATCGTCGGCTGCATCGCCCTCGACCTCGCCCGGCGACGGCGCCAGCATCGAAGAGCTCGATCCATCGACATCCTCCCCCATCGACCGGCCGCCGAGGCGCAAGCGCCGGTTCGAACCGCCTCTCGACTGCCAGACAGCATCTGACCTCGAGCTCGAGTCGTACGTCAAGGACGGCGAGATCGTCACCCCTCCCGAGGCCCCGCCCACCAAGCAGTACTGTGACAACCAGGCTGCCATTGCCTCAGCCTACAACCCCGAGAACCACGGCAGGCTCAAGCACGTCGAGCGGCGCCACTTCTTCATCCGCGAGGCCATCGAGGAAGCCAAGATCTGTGTTCCTTTCGTCCGCAGCGACGAGAACCTTGCCGACTTCTTCACGAAGCCGCTCAAACCCCAGCGCTTCTTCGAGCTGCGGGACAAGATCATGAATGTCAAGGAGCCTTCCTCCCAGTCGGATGAGAAGTGAATCTCCGTCACCAGTCCGTCACCGAGACGGAGCGCGGGCGTCGGCCGCGCCGGTGCCAAGGTCCCTTCGGCTCTTCTCCGAGAGGTCATCTACCAGTGCTGGCAACACCCCTCCGACTGCGGGGGCTAGCGCATCGTACCCGTCCTCATCCAGCACCCTATAGCGTGAGCCCTTCAGCGCAGCGACATGCGCCATCCTCAGCGTCTTCAGCGTATCGTTGGAGTCGGGTGCCGCCTCTGCTACTTTGTTGATCGCCGTCCCCGTCTGCGCTCGCGCTGCTGTAAGGAACCATCTGGCCTGCTCCCTATTCCCCAGGCAGGTGCCGCTAAGCACGTGCGCCATCGTCGCTCTAGGCGGGTTCTCATCTTCCTCGGTCCATTGCTGCGCGGCTTTCCGCATGATCGGACACAGCGGGTCCCGCTTTAGTGCTGCCCTCCTCGCCGCGTCCCTCGCGGCCTTACAGACGAGGCAGCCCCTGAGTTCGCTCCTTGTGGCGGCGCCCGGGGTCTCTCTCCCCGCCTCTCCCCGCATGATCCTCTCGTGGTGCGTTCCGTGTGGCACCCCCGCCTTCTGCTGCACCCGCGCTCCCATGACGGTCTTTGTCACCACGCATAGCCTCCATCGCCCCAGCTCATAAAAAAATCCGGCGCTCAGAACCCTAGGGGTCCCCTCTAAGGGAAACGGGGCTCCGGCTCCACTAGTCTCCACTAGCGCACCGACTTCCTGCGCATGCGCCATGGCGTGTCCTCTCTAGGGCCCCCCCGCGCTGAGGCCTGAGCCCCCCCGCGCTCCCCCGGAGCCCCGCCGGCCGCGTGCCGCCGGGACCGCGGGAGGGAGAGCGCCCGCGGGCGCGTATAGGTATACGTCAGCGTTTATCTCTAAAAAGAGAATACTTTCGCTTTTCGGAGACGGTGGGCAGCGAGCGAAGTGGGTGAGACTGATGATGCTCCTTCGACTTAGGGAGCGTTCAGCTGCTGGGCGGGCTTCAGGCTGGTGCTCACACGAAAAGGAATCGACGCGATGTGCAAAGCATACAAGAAGGGGAGAAGGAAGAGGAGAGACGCCGGTGGTGACGAAGCAGAAACTAGCGCAGACGAGAGCAGGGCAGACCCGGGGACTGGGGAGCCGGAGCAGACGGCATCGGCCGCCGAGGGAACGATCGTTGGGAAGAGGCACGAGGAGGGCGGCGACCTCGACCGACTATGGAGGACCCGTCGCCAGACGACGCAGGGCAGACGATGTGGAGGCGGAGCAGACGCGCAGGGCGAGACGAGGGAGGGAGCAGGACTTTGCGGAGATCAGCAGGAGGATGTACGAAGAGATTAGGAGCAGCAGGGACCCGAGGGACCATGTGGAAGACGGCTAGAGCTAGTCCCCCATCGGAGGACGACCCCGGCTAGCCGCCGACCACACCCACAAAGAACCCTGCACAAAGATCCAGTGAGCATCCAGCAAAATCCCCCCGGCACGGGCGGGGACCTGTTCCTTTTTACCCATCTCACAGAGTCAGAGAGTAGAGAGGTGTCCGTTTTTATTTATTTATTTGGTGCGCGGTAACTCGTGTGCGTGTGTTTCTCGGTACACTCTACACAAATTGGTATCCAGCACGACCACCCCCCCAAACGTGGCGAGCAGCCTGACACACCGGCGTTGCGCTGGCGTCACTATAGTTGACGGTCACTTAGGTGTGGATATCATCGGCGCATCGTCACATGGTCTGCGCCTATGGCCCTTGGCCGGCGCCACCCTTTGCGCTGCCGGCCGCTGCCCGCTCGCCCCCTCCCCTCGAGCCCCTCTGGGACTCTCTCTCTCTCTCTCTCTCTCTCTCTCTCTCTCTCTCTCTCTCTCTCTCTCTCTCTCTCTCTCTCTCTCTCTCCCTCTCTCTCTCTCGTCACGCCTCGCGCGGCAGCACCTCTGCCCACCCCTCCTCGAGCGACGGCCCCG